ACAGATAAGACCGGGAGCCAGCAATCACAGAGCAGATGTGGCAGAGCTTGGCAGCCTCGGAGGAGCTTCCCATGTGGGTTTGGAGATTGGTCTCCGTGACCGGGTACGTTGCTTCCCCTCCAATGTAGACTGTACCCCGTGACCCCCACACTCTGATGCAACCTAGAGAGGGTGCCTCTGGGAAAGAGGTTGCCACCTTCAGTGAGGCCAGATGACTGTGCCGCTGGTTTCCCTGGGGTAAGGGCCGTGAGCCGCAGAGAGGAAGGAGCCAACGGCCCTGCCCCTTGGCCCTGCCCCCTTCACGCCCCCTGCCTCTGCTCCCCCGCCTGCTGTGCGTTTTCCTCACAGCACCCGCTTCACTAACCAGCGTCTTTTTGTCCATTGGTTGAGGCCAGAGACTCTGGTCCACAGCTCTGCCTCGGAGCAGCAGAAGCAGGAAGGCTGGCTGCCGGCCTGGAGGCGGTGTGTCTGTTGGTCAGTTTGCCAACAGATGGGGCCGACTTGTGTGGGAATGAACCGGACAGAGAGGGAAGCAAAGCCGAGAGAGATGGAGATCCTGGAAATACCATGCGACTCTGCCACCAGCCTTGTCTGGAGTCTAGACCAGCCACCGTCCTATTTTACAGCCAGCTCTGAGCTGGGTTCTGTCACTTGTCCCTGGCTAACACAGACGTCCCACATGTCCTGTCCTAGAACCCCCCCCCCCCCCGACTGGAAGCTGCCCCAGCAGGAGAGCGCACCCCTGGGCTCCACGTTTGAGTGATGCACTTGGAAGGTAAGTCCTAGGCTGGAAAGTGGGGGAGGGTGGGATGGCCAGTACTGCAGTGGGGGGTGCAGGGGGTGGGAGGGACCCGCTGGGATCTGGAAGCAGATGACTGTGTTCCAGTCTCTGCCCCGGGGCTTCTCCGCTTTCTAGAGCTGGGCAGCCCCCCCCCCACCTTTCCAACCTCAGTTTCTCCATCGATGCAATGGGTTCATAATCTCCTTCCAAAGAGCCGTTGGGAAAATGAAATGAGAACAGACGTCGAGAAAGGCCGCCTGTGCAGTAGTGTTTATTGTTACAGTGTTAACAGTCTCTCTGTGGAGGGTGTTCCCCCGTGAGTCCTCAGCAGCCCCCAGCCGGTGGGGGAGGCTGGGGAAATCCCCCTCCCCAGCCAACCCATTCCCACGGTCCTGTTTCCCACGGGGTCTTTCATGTCACTCAACTGCCAGCAGCCCGTGGGAGCCTCGAAGAGCAGCCCAGGGTGCTGATGCCCGGGACACAGGTTTTGATGGGCGGGGGGTGGAGTAGGGTGGGGGTG